AGATGATAGATAGATGATAGATAATAGATAGATAGATGACAGACAGACAGACAGACAGACAGACAGACAGACAGACAGACAGACAGACAGACAGACAGACAGACAGAACAAGAAATTTAGGCCATTTATCAAAGTGATTTAGGTGTTTCAACACAGATTTTCCACTATGTTAAACAAAACACACTACTGCACTGTTAGGAATGTAATTATGACTCAAAAATTTAACACATCTAATGATCACATTCTATGAGTTTTATTAAAATTCATCCAGCCCTTCATGAGATATTTTGGTAACACACACGAGCAGAAAGTGCGTCCTGTGCGTCAAAGTCCTGCTCACAGTTGTCTTAGATTGAAATATTTTCTGGCAGAACAATGGTCAGGTCACCAGAATGTCACAGCCGTTAGGCTTTTTGTTCCCTCATGCGTCCTTCCATTTTTTCCCAAACAAGCAAACATCGCATACACTCAGTTTGATTTGACAGCGTTCACATCATGTATAGATACTAAATATTTAGTTGAAAAATAAAAATACTGTCTTAAGTCACTTAGGAGCAGACAAGAAACGAATGGGCCTGAATGTGAAATGAAATAATCTACCTTAAATTCTTCTTCCAGGCCCACTCGGTCACCGTCGGCGAAGGTGTTGTGCAGTTTGTGCAGATGTCCTTCCAGAGACGACACATCCAGCTCCGTGTCTCCATAGAGGTAGTATTCAAGCAGGGCCTGGTACACGAACGAGTACTGCATCTGTGGGGAGGGGAGGAAACCCAAAGGTTTCATTYGCTTTGCACAAGCWCTTCTGCTAATTATTTCAGCATGAAATAAATGACGCGTCCGCAAACATGCCAGATGTTTGTGCTGCATCGTGTTCCGGTTTTGATCTGTCTCCTACTCACATCTGTCTGGATGAGCTGGGAGCGCTGCTCTCGTATCTTGGAGACGAATCCAAACACGTCGACTTTCTGCTCGGCGTGCATCATGTCAATCATGGCATCTATTACGATGAAGGTTCCCGTCCTCCCAACTCCAGCGCTGGAGCAACAAAAGAAACCACAGTGAGCGAAGCACAACTCCCAGCAGGTTAGAGCATGAGTGGAAACACAACGGACATGTGAGTCTAAGTACACACATCACTACAGTTACTTAACTTTGTTTGCACACACGTATAAAAACAAGGACTGTTGCCCAAATCAGTTTAAACCAGAGATTCTTAACCTATGGGCCGCAGCCCAATTGTGGGCCGCGAGCGCCACCTTGAGGGCCTCAAAAGAATAACAGTTTTTAACTTTGGGCTGCAGARGGAAGTGGAACCGCATTGATTTTGAATAAGGTGCAATACACTTTCTCAGTAGCAATAGTGTGCCACTCAGATGTTGAACAACTTTTTTAATATGTAGAAGAACCTTAGAAACCTGCCGAAAATGTAAACATATTTTAAAAGTAGAAGCAAAAATTAAAGTAACACGTCAAAAAAGGCCAAAGTTTGTCACTAATATGAAAGTACAGCTTCTGGTTCTATCATGCAGTATTTTAAAAGTTCAAAATATTATCAAATAAGTTGCAGATACAACTATATTTTAATTTGCACTTTATCAAATTATTTTTGTAGTTTATTTTTTTAATATTTTAATGTATTTTAAAGAAACTTTAAACTTGTCAAAAAGTTGTTGTTACTGTTATTGTTTGTCACTAATATGAACAGCAGCTTCTGGTTCTACCATGCAAAAGTTTAAAAATGCTATATTTTCATTTGTACTTTATCAAATTTATTTTTATAGTTTTTTTATATATGAAACATTTTAACATTTGTGTTCATAAGCCTGAGTGGTCTGTTGACTGACCGTTTGTTCAAATAATTGTTGTGGGCAGGTTACAATATAAAAAAATGTTTGTCATAATCACATCTTGTGATTATTTGACAGGAGTTTTACTTTTAAGTGTACTTAAAATTTAGTTATAATGTAAATACAATAAAAATTAAACCAAGCTTTAGAACAAGTATCATTTTGATCCGTACATTGGTAATGTCTGACTGGGCCTCGTGCCACTTTATGTTCAATAAATTGGGCCCCGAGGTCAAAAAGGTTAAGAACCCCTGGTTTAAACCATTAGCAGGCTTATCATTCCAAAATGCAAGAAGTTCCATTAAGGTAGTTTATTCACTGACAGAAAACATGTCCAGGTATAAGAAAACTACCCCAGTGATAAATACTGGATACACATGGTTGCAAAAACCTCAAATTCAGTGAGATTACAGCAAAATAGTAGCAGATTTGTGTTTCTGTTGCTAGTTAGTCTCCAACAGTGCAGCTCAGATAATACAACATTTAACTCTTCAGTACCTGCAGTGGACCACAATAGGTCCAGAAAAAGGTGGATTCACCGCCTTGACCTTTTTGAGGAACTTGAGCATGCCAATCGGGGAGAAAGGAACTCCAAAATCAGGCCAGCTGGTGAAGTGGAGCTGGGTGACCAGACGAGGAGTTTTAGCAGCGTCACTGGCCTGCTGCGTGGAGACAAACAACCGAGGCAGAAAAGTGTTCAAAAACAACCAGCGGTGGTCTTCTGACAGCTTCTAATAGAAACARTGCCAACCCTTCTTCAGAAATTCTTTAGAAATTGGAAGCAGCTACGCATTRTGTTTTTAGAAACAGGAACTGTAAAGTTTACTTACGTATTGTACACAGAACTTGCGAATTGTGTAATCCACCAGGACTGTGAAGTCTTCGACTGCCACCCTCACGTTCCCRTATGTCCAACAGCCCTGGTCTGGCCAGTACTGGTGACACTTGTCCTGCAGTATTCATGATTGAAGAAATGTTTCAACGCTGCATTCTGGACTTTGTTTCATAAAYACAAAGCAGCTCAGGTGGATGAGCTTTATAAACAAGCCACATGTTTCATTTTCACAGCCAATCAGTCCAGATTAGTGTTGAAAGAAAAGGTGAAATCAGTCAATAACCAACTTGTCAGGGTTATGATGTGCCTTTAAGGACTTTAGAACACATTATGTGAATATTGATTATAGTATTGATCTATCTGCTTTCTGATTCAAATCCCAGCCAGTTCTCTATTGATTTTTTTCAGTCCCATTCTTCTTTTCTCCTTGTTCAGAGCTGATTCAGCATAAAAACTATGCAGTTAGAGCTGATAAGTGTTCCTAAAATAAAAAAATACTTCATTATATGTCCAGTTACTCTGAGTTTCACTTTCATTCTCCACAAGAGTCAGGGCTATCAGTCAAAAAAGCAATTATTTTTGTGTTTATCTTTCAAAAAGCTCTGGTGATATTGCTTTTATTTCTCATTGTTCAACAGAATGAAATCATCCAACTTATTTTGGATGACCGTTAATACAGATATCAGACCATCAACTTGTTTTTATTGCAGGAAGTAAAACTGTTGACTTCACATCTAATATTAACTGCATGTCTGCTTTCAGTTCATTAACTAACCTCTTTTCGCTCCTTTAAATTTGTCAACATGACAATAGTTGCTACTTTCTGCTCCCATATCATCCTCCAGAAATCTGCCACTGTGTCTTCTTTTGGGCCTGGAATGCAAAATGTGTCCTGTAAAATGTAATGATTTTTTTAAAAGTCTTCTTRTGAAACGTCTCTTTAGTTTACCTTGTGCAGCTATAAATTTGTTCGTTTCTGTGTAACCCTGGAAGAAAAAAAAACAATATACATGTTAAGGACAACTACAAACTCTTTAGTAACTTGTGCAAACGCCCGCTTTTAAAAGGTTTTTAAAGGGTGAGGGGGGTATTGTGCATTTTCCAGTCACATGCTTCAACTCTATACCACAATCAAGTAACTATGTTACCGTCAGTTGTTAAGAAAACACTGTATATATCAAAAATGAATTTGACTTTGCATCATAGCCTATATAATTGCCTTGAAATTAGCCTCTGTCTCTTTAAGAACCTCCCATCGTTTCTGACACTCCCACTTCAGCACATCTTCATAACCATGTTTCGGAGAGGGGTGCTCTGTRRGGCRGGAGCTCAGCTGCAGWCTGAGCTCCAGGGAGGAGCTTTGTGTAAATAGGCGGGGCTTTGTACCAGCAAGTGTTTAGGCAGCTCCACATRGCTACCACAGGAGATTCAAGGATTTGTTAAACATGCATGAATGAGTCAAAGCAACACTCTGGGTATGTGTTTGATGAGGAAATGWTATAACATGATGAAGCTCAAATAWGCCAATTTYGCATWACACCCCCCTTTAAAAAGTTGTTTTGTTAAAGTCTGTGAACATGTGTTGCATTGTCTATACTGATTTACAAAACTGAAACTCACATCAACATAAGATGCGTTCACGTAGTCCGAACATGGCTTTCCATCGAACYGGGTCAGAACCACTCTGGAATGATCGTCTAAATGTAAAAAAATACGATTAATTTATACGATTAATTTCACAATCTGCATTCAAGACTGACTGCAAACATTGCAATTGAGACCAGAAAGTAACAAATATCTTAAAGCTTTGGAGGATCACACTTTTCTTCACCACAGTTGGCAACTGAATGCAGTTCTGTTTATTTTCGACACGTTGCCCAATTTACAGCAGGTAAAATAAGTATTGAACATGTCACCATTTTTCTCAGTAAATATATTACTAGAGGTGCTAATG